AACAGGTATAGTATAGTTTTACATATTCTTTAAAGAAACTAGGCTAATGTTGTAAGAAATAAGCTATAGAGGCACTTTAATCTATCCAAGAGATAATTCTAGAGTCATTTTAAGTGCCTTGAGAGAGTAGCTTTCACGTCATTTATAATTCACTTTTCAATAGTTTTTTTCTTTTTTTTGTTTAATTCTCCTTATAAATAGTTCTTTTTTAATTCTCCCCGTAAATGCTTTTGAATAATAAAAATATTTTCACTAAAAAAATGTTTTTGCATTTAATTAATATAATATAAGTAAAAAAAATGGAGTACAACCCAAGCATTTGAGGGGAATAATAAAAAAACATCATATTGTAGCAATTTGTCCTGCAGTTTATTCTACAACTATTCATTATAATCAGACTATCTTTACAAACTAAAATAAGAACACTTTTTTTCTCCAAAGACTAACCATGAATCTGTAGAATTCTATGAGAGAGCAATGTTTTCTCAATTGCATCTTCGACTTCACATTAGTCTTTAGATTGACTTCTTCACGAGGAAAATTCATCTTCTGTTTAGACTTCACAAGCCTTCGGATTGACTATCCCAACTGAAATTCTTAAGAATACACCAAATGATCCAAGAAGCCAATGAATATCTAATTCCATCATATAATGCACGAAATTTCCCAAGTTTGAAAACTAAAAGTTCTAATATCAAACGGTAAATTGATTACTTTATAAACACTAATGCATATTGAATTAAAAAACAACATCAATACCTTCGAGCATTAGCAGCAATGGTTTTAAATCAGAATTCAGAGCAGCAAACCCCCCATCCTCTCTTCCTCCTCGTATCAAGCCCGGAAGAAGAAACCCGTCAAGCTTCCCCGCATTCTCACAGATTCCAGTTTCACTTCCTTCCCAAAACCTCACCACGATTTTAACAATGACACTTTCTTTACTTACCATGCCAAACCCAATTCCAGCTATACAAATACTACTTCCCAGACATCATCCGTTCGGAATTGGGAGAATTTTTACCCTCCATCGTACATGCCTGTTTGAATCAGCCAAAAATTTTCAATAGAAAAGGCCAGCTAATTTTCCAAGAAGAACAATAACAAAATTAAATGAATTGAAAAACTCTCACCAATCACATCTTAAAAGATATTCCCCATAATACAGTAAACTATGGAGGTCGAAGAAATTAATATAGGAACACAAATCCCCCAATTGAAAACCCTAGCTTACCTAATTCACAAAAGGGTGATCTTTACAATCCAAATTTGGAGACGTCATTCCCCAACTTCCAATCACTGTGCAGCAATTAACCTACCATCCCTGACACTTTTATCCCCTCCTTGCATCAAATCCACAGACGAATCTCCTTCTAGCAAGATGGAAGAAAAAGATGCTGCATCTCAACTTGTTCGGCGGTGCCATCAAGAGTCTGAAGCCCTAGCCACAAAGTGGAATTGCAAGATTAGCACCAAAATCATGGCCAAAGTGTAGCCTTTCCACCGCAAAATTGAAAATTCTCACATTGGAGAGATGAAATCTGAAGAAACAAGAAGAGATGGAATTCGAAACAAAAACCATTAAATATAAAAATAAATAATATACGAGTATTTTTTAGACATACTATAAATATATAAAATAGTTGATAAGTCTTGGGAGTTTTTTTTTTTTTTTTTACAAATGCCCCAAAAATCAGACTAGTGTGGTAAACAATGACATTATGGGGAGAAATTGGCCAAACTGTAATTTTTTTGAAAAAATAGAAATGTCACAAGAGCTTAGTGCCATTAAAAGTTATCTAGATTGACACTTTCACATAAGTGCCTTTAATCGTTTCGAGCCTAGTGTCATAAAAGCTCCTTTTTCTAGTAGTGAATGTATCTTTGGGGCTTGTCTTAATGGTCGACTTTGGAGGTCTTCTCAACAAGGGTTTGGCATACTAATATCTTCTACTTCGACTACAGTCGCCTACTATTACTCTTCATCCCTCACGAAGAGTTGTGGTCTTACCTGGTCTGGTGGAACCTTGAATGGTCGGCTCCCATGTGAGCTCGAACAAAAGGTCCATTTCCTTTGTCTTTCCGAGCATTGTACTTTACATTTATGATTATGCATATGTGCTTCTAGGATAACACTTGGCGGGACATTTGATGGCGGGACATTTCCTTTGTCTTTCCGAGCATTGTACTTTACATTTATGATTATGCATATGTGCTTCTAGGATAACACTTGGTGGGACATTTGATGGAGCATGGATCGTCCTCTGGGCCCTTCACTCTATGATTTGTCCCGATTATTATGCTAACCTCAAAAACACATGGCCTCTCTGGACTTAGCATGGGCTCTTGATGAGGCAAAAACATGCACTTGGGCCATAATCAATTCTTGGATCCCAAACTACCCTTTGGAGGCTAACTGGATTGATTAGGGACCCTAAAATAGGCGAAGCCTATTAAAGCCCAGAGAATATTCCGAATATTCTGAATATTCCAAGGAATATTCTCCTTCTTACCCCTATACATGGCCCCATTTGGTGAGGTAGAGGGTAAGCTCATTCTACTCCCTTCTTGGCTCAAATGGTTTATTTCTCTCACTCCATGTACTGATTTGATCGTCGGAGTGCAAACTGTTGTTTTGCAGATCACAGGTCCATAGACACCGTTGACTCTTCAACCCATCGGATTTTGCCTTCGTCAATTTTCATGAACAGTGTAAATATTGCTGAATTGGTCTTCTTGGCAAAGAATTTTTTTTCCAAATTCTCATAATAATTATTCTGTGTTTTGCTTTAGGGCTGACATTTATTGAAAATTGGGATTTTTTTTTAATGAATCTGACAACTTCTTGGTGACGAAAAAATTATTATAATAGTCTAAATTCAATCAATTATTAATTTAATGCAAAATTTACGGTGCATGTTCTTACAGTCTTCTTGGATTCGTACGTTACTGAAATCAAAGTTTCAAACTTCAAACTTGTTCTGCCTATGAAGAAAAGTTGTTAGTCAGTAACGATTCATTATAGTAATTAACCAGTAATACATGGTTTTTTAAAAAAGCACTCCCTCCATTCCAAAATAAGTGTCGCCCTACACTTTGCACATAGTTTAAAAAACTCTTAAATACGGTAATAATATTACTTGAATATCTTCAACCAGCCCCATTATAAAATTGTCCACCAATAGTATCAACTCTTTTAAAGGTAATTTTAGAAACTTTTGACAAAAAGTGTATTGAAATGTGAGAATGACACTTATTTTGGAATTTCTCCATTTTGCTAAAACGACACTTATTTTAGAATGGAGGGAGTATTTGAGTGATTAGAAGTCATACCATTAATGATCACTAGAATTAATCAATCTACATTTACTTTTTCATTATAACCAATGAAAACATCCGATGATACTGATACTGAGTCCAAGAATTTGGAACTGTTACCCTATGTCTGTGGATAATTGAGATAAAATTCAAAGTTTGACTGGATTTCTGTTAATATCTTGTCTTCTCACGTGAACACTTTGAGAGGTACAGAATTTGTATGAGTACTCCTACTCGTGTTGGATGCTTCTTTTTTTTTTTTTTTTTTGTTTTAAGAAAAATATATGAAGCAAAAACCTGAATTAGATTGTTAAAATTGTTGTAAATAGGAAACTTCGATTACATAGTATACCAAACACGGTTTAACTCCCGACTAGAGATTATACAATCTCATTAATGGAAAAATCCGCCGCAAAAATAAGTTTCCCGAAAGCATTTCTTAATATTGTCAAAAATTAGTGAAAAGTATATGTATTGCAAGTTTTTGGTATAGAAAGAAATCGGAATGGCTGAAACTTGCCATTCGTAAGATGTCCTATTTACACCAATTATTATTAAATAATTTTTTAGTCATTAATTCGCTTGCGAATTATCTACTGCAAGAAAATTAACTGGGTAAATATGCAGACAACAACTTCCTTCGTGTCCGCATAAATGTATGAGCGGAAGCTACTTTTGTGTTGAGGGGAATTATTGACAGCTGTTTACATAGAGAGCAAACGTGGCCAGTCTTTTGAAAAAACAAAAAACATACATAGATTATCTTGCTCCATTTTTTACTAGCTCAACTTTATACATGTAACATGCACGTATATATATATATATATATATACACACACGTATATACATATATATATATACAAATATTTGTTATTACTTTTTAACATAGAAGGAGCCAATAACATTTTTATTTACATATTCACAAGTCCCCGACCTATCTTAAACAGGATCCGATCCCAAGATATTTTCATGATCAACTCCAAATTTATCACTATTAATTATGGTAAAATCACATGCAGCCTTCAAGCTTAATTGCTTGGTTTCATTTTCTTTTAATCATTTTCCACAAACAGAAACCGAATGCATGAGTATATTTCCTTTTTTTATCAACAAAACAAATAATACACTCAAAAAAAAGAATCAGGCTACTGATGAAGACTTTTCTTTGGAAAAAAGGACGGGCCCGGTGTCATTTTTATGAAGTAAACAAATTACATAGATTGTGCCAACAGAAAAAAGAAGGGGAAAAAAAGACAAATTACATTGACAAAAAGAAGGTTTAAGAAATACGATGAAAACAAAGAAAAAAAAATCAACTCAGATGGACTAGAAAAATAAAAATTGCTTGGACAGCCGTTTACTAAATAACATTTTATTGTAATAAGTAAATGCAAAAGCAATCTTATCAAGTGCAACTCAGTCAACAAAATATAGCACGATTAACTTATTATGTTATCAACCGTAACATAATATTCCTTCGAAACATAATTGGACTGCAACACGGGGCTGTCTAAATATATAGACGCCATTTCTTCCTTCTGTACTTTCAATTCATGCCCATGTAGATATACAAACACAATATCCATAGCACGAACTCCAAAAACTATCAACCAATTAACTAAAGGGTGGTAGAAACAAACAACAAAAAGTAAAAATTCTTCTCTTACAACATTAGTTGATACAAAATGCCTGGAAGAATAGAAGCTCCAGTTGTGAAGAACAAGAAAGTTCTTTTTAAAATGTACATTGATGGGAATCCCAAAGAGTCTGATTTCGAAATCAGCACCGAAAGCACCATCAAATTGGATGTCCCAGAAGGCTCAAATGGTGTTTTGCTCAAGAATCTCTATTTGTCTTGTGATGCTTATCTGTGTTTTCTCATGCAAGGCGCAAAATCTTCCATGGCCGAAACTTTTGATGGTTTCAAGCTTGGAGACGTAAGTATACAGTTTCTTCTTATAGTAGCAATTTTTATGTAGTCGATCATTTAATGGGATAAACGCTCATTGTTGTTGTGGTTTTTTTTTTTTTTTTTTGGGTATTATTTGAAATTGATGTTATATATGGTTTAATATGCAGCCAATAGGAGGAATGGGTGTATCGGAAGTGGTGGACTCGAAGCATCCAAAATTTTAGCAAGGGTGACTTGGTGTGGGGTGAAACTCTTTGGGAAGAGTACACTTACTTACCGGAAGTTCGTGTTCTTTTCAAAATTCAAGACCATAAGGATATACCACTTTCTTACTACACTGGAATTCTTGGTAGGTTCGGAATTACAAACTACCAATCTGTATAGTAAATAATAAAATGAGAATGTCCACCAGGTACTGTCGTGGTTGTATACATAACATGCATACATTTATTATTGATAACATCTCATCCTCAAAGATTGATTCAACAACTTTTAGCCTTTCGTCCTCGCTAAACCAAAATACTTAATTCAAGTTATTAGTAATTTATGAGGTTGAGACTTATATACAAGTCATTCACTTTGTCATGTAGCAATGTGAGACAGAATATTACAGCACCCCCTTTGAATCTTTGCGTCCTCGCAAAACCCAACAAGCAAGAACGTACCATTACAAAAAAATGAGCTTTTAGGACGCCACTAAGCGTCCTTTTAGACCACTTTTCGGGACACTTATGCTTTTGAGACGAATAAAAAAGAGTCTTGTAGTAGGCCGTCCTAAAAGGCCCGTGGACACAAAAATGTGTCCCAATAAGAAAAAGCATCCTTATAAATAATTGTCAAGTTGACCAGTCTAATTCTATTTTAGGGCACTTTTAAAGGACGCAATACGTTATTTTTAATAGGACCATAATAAACGCCCTTTAATCTCAAGTACGTTGGAATGCTTATATTCGTCCTGAGACTGATGCATGTTCGAACATATTAAAGTGTCCCAACACAAAATTAATTTCTATTTTGTTTCATTCTACACCTATTAAAATTATTCTCTAGAAGTATTTAAGAAAAACCATCAATGCAATAAAAATCTCTATGGAACATAATAGCATCATTGATCTTCGATTATAAGTGAAAAGATCTCAAAGTTAAAATAATTCTCATAAATTTGTAGTGTTTATCAAATACGTATTTGTAAACTAAAACAGGACTTAATGCACTAATCAAAATATGAGCACTCGAACTCAAAGAGAAAAAATGAACTAAAATATGATCACTTGAACTCAAAGAGAAACTATCCACCATCTTCAAGAGTCCATGTTGAGCACTTCCATCGTCTTGAGAACCTGAACAATCCCACATACTAATCCGACAATCCCAAGAAGCTGAACAAATCTGCCAAAGAAATAAAAGCAAAGATAGATGAAAAATCAGTAATCTGAAGATGCTCAAAGGTCATCCAGAATATAGCAACCAATTTCCACTTTCTAATAAGACAAAAAAAAAAACCCATAAATCTTACTTGAGAGATAGTATCCAAAGAAGTGTCAAGTAGGTCTGTCATCAAAGCTAGCCAGTTAACAACATTCTTCCCAGGGAATAATGGTTTCCTTGTCAAAACCTCTCCAACAATGCAGCCTATACTCCATCCACACGAGACAAAGGAAAGGGGGAAACAGGTGAGCTTCAATTCTGGTACATATCACAAATTAGTACAAGTTGTAGCACATATCATAAAAAGCCAGACTACATAAATATATCATAAAAAACATTTTGCACGTAATTTTTTGTACTATATTATGGATGACAAAAGAAATGGCTAATAAATGGAAAAGTAAACACTATCAAAGAAACTTAACAAGTTCTCCAAATTCTGTTTTGAAACATGCTATGGAACTGAAATTAATTATAGAAACGGGGTCACTGTTATAAGTTTCCACATCAAGTAGCCCACTACGTGTAACAAAAGGTTCAGGTTTCCCAAATTAAATTCAAGGAGCTAGATTCAAGAAACTAAGCAAAACATTAAATACGCAAATACACCCTAATCTTTCTTCTACCACCCCCGACATCAAAATTATGCAGATACTCATGGAACAATGAAGAAAAAAAAAAACGGAGTACGTATATAACCAAAAATAAAAATAAAAATCAAGGAGAATGGCTATAAAACAGACCCGATATAATGCTTTAGCTTGATCTCCTAAGGATTGATCATCGTTTTCCAATTTCGTCATCAAATTGTTGATGTGCCTCGTTCCTACACAAATGGCCTATACCAGAAATAAAATACTCATAAGATTTCATATAGTAATTTACCTAACAACTGAATTATAACAAGAACAAAAAATAAAGAGTTCTATTGTGCTAAGAAAAATATTAGGGACTGCTCTTTGTTTAATACCAAATCACTGAAAGCCAAACGAAGGTCAGGACAAACAAGGAAATAGAAACAATAGTCTTCCTAATTTAAATAATATCATAGAAATAGAAACATTATTTTTTCTCTAATGTCCTCAGAAAAGACTGCGGAAGATCATTTTGCTTGATTGAGCTTAAAAAAGAAAAGGAAAACCAGAACAAAAGGATTAAAATTAGCATAGCGACCGGAGCACATCTCAAAGTGAACTGAAAAAACCTCCACATCGATGAGTATAAAGGAAGATCTGCCTCGACCACCTTGCCGTTCCCTCCTATGCAGGACTCTATCCTACATTTCCGACGCTCGATCCAACTTTCCGCAGCCTCCATTAAAGCATTCTGGCCTCCAATCTCATTGTCCCCATACATCTGGACATCGGCATCCACCACAAGAGATCCACGATTTTAATCTAATCGGCCTTTTGTAAATCACTGAAAAGGAGAAAGCATATGAGATACAAACAGAATCCAATCCCGAACCAAATCGAATGAACCCAAAACCAAACTAATAACCCTGGATCGATAAAAATCCGTCCATATTGGTTCTGCTTGGTCAAGGATGAGGGAGGATTAATGCGCATTGGTCCGGGAGAGGAGGGACAGAATGGAACTGGGAAGTGTTTGGGAGGACTTAGAGAGGAGGAAGTGGGTTGAAGAGTCTTCTTTTTTGGTCAAAGTGTTGAGATTTTGGTACATCTTATCTTATGTAAAAATAATAAAAAAAATGAATTGTGTATTTTGTTGGGGCGGGACTTTCCCCCCCAAGTTTTGGCAAAAAAAATCTACCTCTAGCAACAATTAATTCGGCCAAAACGGTATTTTAAAAAAAAGAAAATTTGAAGTGTTAGTATTTGCTTTATTTTTAATTAAACTCACTTTATAAGTGGAAAGACGAAGGATTAATAAATTATTACTTCGGTTTTCATATTTCAATGTTCGCTTCTTATTCATTCTTACTACAAAAATTAATTCCACAAACGTTTACAATAAATATCAGTATTTTGAATTGGAGTTATTAATTCACAAATCAATAAATATCACATACCACAAATTAGAGTTATTAATGAGTACAAATTTTATATTTATGTATAATGAGATGGAAAATTTTATTGTAAAATAATTAAATTAAACTTTTAAACTTTTATAGGACAATGATTGATTTGGCACATTTATAAATACATGACTGTCTACCCATTGTTATTTTGAGATTATTAAACAGTGTTTTTGGTTTTATTCATAATCACATTCACTATAAAATCTCATTCATTGTCGATCAATATTATAAAATTATATGCTAGATGTGAGTGTAAGATTGAAGGACGCATAAACCAATAAATTCATCATCACTAACATTACACTAGTAGTTCTAACATTGTACCACGATGTAAGCTTAATAAATCATAATATACAAAATATGTTTTTAATTTAATCATAATTATGTATTAATATGTGATCAAACAATTGAGCGACACCAGGCTAGCGTCTAATTATATTTTAATAATTAAATTATGATTAACTTATAGTGTATTTGATTATCATAAGAGGAGTACCTTTGTTTTAAATTTCACATTTTACTGGTTGTATTGTATATATTAGGGTGCCGTACTAATATTAGTTTATGATCATTGTTTTAAATATTTTGATTTCTGGGGTCAATTCAAAAATGTTAGGGTGTCTTATTAATATTTTTCAAAGATGTGTTACCTATACCAAGTGTCTTAATACTCAATTGGGCCAAGACCAAAAAGAATAATAATATTTTCAATTTGACCCAAAAAATTGAAACTTCCAATACTAGCCCAACTACATATATATATATATATATATACACACACATATATATAAATATATTTGAACAATAAAATAATCCTTTTTAGTGGGATTTCTCTAGTAATAACCTTTTAGACTATCATGTGTATTAGACCAGTTTCTTATAATGCTTATTGGATTATCTTTAAAGCAAGTAACAATAAAATACTTTCTCAAACTATTAAATAATTCAAATTTCATCACTACTTCGGATCACACATAATTATATAGTAATGCAAAATTATGACAATATTGTGACATTATTATATACTTATAACCATAAGATATGCATCCTTATTTAATCCTAAATAATTTGTTGCTATCTAATTACAATATTATATAATGGGACACTTTTAAGAGTCTTTATTAAGAATTTAGATGCAGACGTTTTTTAGCGTCATGTCAAATTATTCTATAAGGATGCATAAGTATAAAGAGACGATTTAAGCGTCCTATTAATTTTTTTGTATTAGACGCTTGAAAATGTCCTATAATGTGTTTTTCATGGGACGTTTTTTCCATGTGTCTTATTATGTATCTATTGGGATGTTTTATGTAAAAGCGTCCTAAAAAAAGCGTCCCAATAGATCATTTCTTTTGTAGTATGTGGCCCAGTCTTCCCCCGGAATAGGACTCTAGAGGTGGCTCCCGTGCTTCACACTTGTTCCGTCTGCTGGCTCAAAGGTGTCTATGCACTTGTCCCGTTAGTGGGCTCATAGGTGTGTCCGCATGTAGCACTTAGCTCCTAGACCATGGTCCGCTCTGATACCATTTGTAACATCCCAGCCTCAAATACTGACCTTACAATTTTTAGGCTTTCGTCCTCGGTAGCCCAAAATGGTTAACCCAGGTTGTAAGTAGTTTATGAGGTTGAGAGTTATATACATGTTATTCACTTTGCCAGGTAGCGATATGGGACATGATGTTACAAAGTATGTCTGGTTTGAGTGCTTATGGAGGATTCTACGAAGTATGCCAGCCAAAAGAAGGCGAAAGGGTA